GTATATAAAGAATTGAGATTTTTGAATCTTGATTAATGTGCATGTTATTATTATATTATTCACTGTAATTTCTTAAGATATATGAAGAAACTTTATTTTATTTATATTAAAGTCATTTATAGTATAGTGAAATCAAATGTTCCATAATATTTGAGTTTAGTTTATGTGCATCATAAAGAAGTTGTTGAACTTAAATAAATGGAACTTCTGCAGTATAAGTTCTTCCTTGGGGTTTAGGAAGATCGGTAAAGTGACCGTTTCTAAGGTAATAATTAAAGTGGGTGATGCCTGCCAAAAGGTGACACGCTCATGTAGGTTATTATTTTATTAAAATTTTAAGGCATTAGTCTTATTGATGTCTTACAGTGCACTTACTTACATAAGGACATTTGTTCTGCTAAAAGGTGATCAATGTTTTAGTGTGAGATAAGTGAGTAGAATATTTGAGAGTGCTTAAATTATAACTAAATAACCCTCTTGTCAAAAGATAGTGGAATTGTTTGGCAATAATTCACGTATAATCAAATAGGTCTATGTGCGATTTTATCGCAGATTTGGGAGTAAAGTAAAATCTAAAATTCTGCCAAAAGGTGATTTTTAGAAGGCATTTTATTTGTTCCCGCAGGGTGGATGGTTTTGCACATAGTAAAACACCCTGATAAATTCGGCTTAAAACCCCAAGCACGAATTAAAGTTATAATCCATAAAGCTAAGATATATTACTATATGTTATTTATGTGATGTTATTCAACATAACATTTATTCAGGTTACAGACGCTTCCGCAATTTAAAGATATCTTATAGGGATTGAACCATTGAATGGTTAAAATTATACTGCCTAGAAGACATGTTTTGATATTATATTGGATTTCTTGGACTACGTGTCTGTTGTTTTAGAAAGAAACCCATATGTCCAGTGCATCGTCTTCTTAGGTAGAAAAGTTGTTACATTTTTTAAATGAACTACAGGTACTACCATGCCATTAGATTAATTTATACTTCTATTGGTGATACTATTCAGGATGGTATTCTGGTTTTGATACTGCAAATGAGCTTCTTGCTTTTATCAAGAAAGAGTTAATGGACATTAAGAAGCAACTACAATTCTATTATCTGACATGGTTTTGCTAGTCAGATATGATGGCAATGGTTCAATAAGGGAGTGCATATATAAGATGTACAAGCTGATTAATAATCTGAGGTAGTAGGGAATCATATTTGATTACAAGTTATTAGTCCACATGGTGATCTATTCTGTACTTAGATTGTTTCAATTTTTTCAAGGTGAATTATAATTCACTAAGAAGTTAAATGTGGCATTAACCAGCTGTTAACATTTTGTGTTATTGAAGGGGAACGACTCAAGGGTGTTAAAACTGAATCAGCTTATCTTGCAGTGATAGTAAGAATAGTTTCAAGAAGAAATTAGGCGGCAAAAAAGTGTATAAGGCTAATAAAGAAAGGCAGAACAATACATGAAAAAACATTGATCATGGAATGATAAATGTTAGTTCTGTAGAAATAAAATGACATTAAAAGAAAAGCTATTGTGGTGAAAAAGAAAACAAAGTATGAAAGAAAATTGTCATATTAATATTTGAGCCTAATTTGTTAGAAGTATAGGTATTGACATGGTGGATGGATTCGAGTGTGATTCTACTTGTTTCTTGTTTTTCTATAGACTTGATACCTTCCGAATAAAATCGTGCTTTGGTTAGAGAGGATTCATCCATGCTATGCACAGGATATTGGGGAATGTCTCTCAAAAGAGACTTGAACGCTTAGTCAAGGATGAGATTATTAGGCCACAAATTTTATGCGTTGGTTGTGTCAAAGGACAAATGCTAAGAAACGCAATTTTGAGGCTAATCAGTCATTTGGTTTTAGACTATATTTAGACATTTATGGTCCATTTCTTATTATAGCTCGTTTGCAGCAAAGGTATTTCATTGTCTTCATTGATTGGTTCTCAAGGTATGATTGTGTACTTAATCCACTAGAAGTCCGAAGCACTTGATGTGTGTAAAATCTACTAAACTAAAGTTGAAAGTAGTTGGTATAAAGATTATGGTTTTAAGATCAGACTAAGGTGGTGAGTTTTAATAGGAGAATGATAAGGAGGGTGTAAATAGTAGTATTTTCAATACATACTTAAAGAGTAAGGCATTGTGCCACAATACACCATTTCTAGTTTTCCTGAACAGAATAAAGTTGCAGAAATTAGAAAGTGTAGGGATATCTTATAGAGATATAGTTATATAATGCAGATATTAAGGAGCTTAACACTCACATTACCAATGATTATTTTATTAGACATCTTGAAAGATTAAAGAATTCGAGATTTTACTGTCCTGTAGACCTATGGAGATTATTGGAATATGTCATGCATATTTAATTAGAGTGGTGAATCCAGTGGGAGTTTAAGAGATTATAGTTTCTTTTTGCAGAAAGATATTTTCAGCATCTATTCTATTTATTCCAAGCTTTATTCCACTTTCTTTAATGGTTTCAGTTAAAGCTCATATTCCTACTCTTTCAGTTATTTCTCCTTTACAGACCTTTCTTTCAATTTCCAATCTAGTTCCTAAGCCAGTTTAACTTAGGAGATTTTCTAGAGCTTGGAAGTATGCTGTAGTTGGTAATTTTGAGATGTCTGGTGGATATAAAACAAAAATTGATGGCTAAGTGCTTAAGCAAAAGTTAAGTGTTGATTTTTTTGAGATTTTCTCCAACTTAATTAAACGACTTTTTAAAAGTCATTCTTTCATTATCACTCATTTATGGATTAAGTAAGTTTTAAAGCAGTAGTATCCAAAATTTTGATACAGTGGTTACTAATTGTAAGTTCAAAGAGAATGTTATGGATAAATGCATATACCTTAAGTTCAGTGGGAGTCATTTTGTTTTCCTTGTCCTATATGTTGATGATATTTTGTAAGGTAGCAATGACATTCATGTGATACATGATATTAAAAATTTTATGTAAAGTTTTGACATGAAGGACATGGGTATGCAAAGTATGTCATTGGCTTTAGAATCCACATAGATCATGCTACTGAAATATTTGGACTTTCTCAAAAGGCTTATATTAATTAAGTATATGAAAATTTTTAACGGTGACCAACCGTAGTAAGCCCATTGACATAAAGTTCATTTTCAAGCATGAGAAAGTTAAGGTTTAAGTGCCTTTAAGATTTCCCCATATAGTTACAGAAAGATTGTTACATGTCCTCTTACTAAAGGTCTTCAGCCAAAGATAATAAAGTATTTATAAAGCACGTGATTCGGATAGGTGTTCAAGAGTCATTATGTTATGATGTCCGGTATTTCTTTTATATATGCTACATTGTAGTTAGTTTCTTTACGCCTTGTGGTGACAGTTATTTTTCCTCCAGTTTATGTCTTATGGTGACAGTTATTTGTATCCAAAATAAAGTTATGATGCATAATTATTATTATCTTGATATACATGGTTTATGCACGTGCTATTATGTTTGCCTGGAGTGATATTTCACTCATGAGGTTGTTTGGGTTAGATGTGAGATTGGTACCACATCGATAAATCCAAAATAATTATTAAAGGTTGTCTGAGAGTGATAATTCACTCATACGGTTGTTTGGGCTAGATATGAGATTGACGCTATATTGGTAAATCCAAATATAAGATTTATCTAGGAGTGGTATTTCACTCATGAGGTTGTTTGGATTAGATGTGAGATTGACACCACATTGGTAAATCCAAACATGAATATTAAATTTTGCCTGTGGGAGTTTTTCACACTCCATGAGGATAACTTGGGCTAGATATGGGATTGGCTCCATATCGGTAAACCCTCACACTGAACAGAAGGTTGGCGGTTTGCTGTAATATGTTCAGGTGACATACCGCGATGATATGAAGTAGGATGGATAGCTTGGGCTAGATATGGGATTGGCTCCATATCGGTAAACCCTCACACTGAATAGAAGGTTGGCGGTTTGTTGTAATATGTTCAGGTGACATACCGCGATGATATGAAGTAGGATGGATAGCTTGGGCTAGATATGGGATTGGCTCCATATCGGTAAACCCTCACACTGAACAGAAGGTTGGCGGTTTGCTGTAATATGTTTAGGTGACATACCGCGATGGTATGAAGCAGGACGGATAGTGAGGTGTGCGTTTAGACCCCATGCAATTTGCACATCTCATGAAATACAGTAAAACCACTATATTTGCTTGAATCCTAGATGGAATCAGTTTTGAGACCATGGAACTGTTTAGACTAATATATTACTTGTCTACGCTTTCATGATCCACTATTGAGGAAATTTATGAAGGAGAGTGTTCTAAAGTTTCAATCCATCAATTTCGATAATTGTGTTTTCTAAATAAAAATGAGTGGCCACTCGACTTTTATAAAGTGTGTTGCAATTCATAGTGTCATTTTATAAAACTTACAGTGCATGGACCAAGTAGGAGATTGTTGGAATTTATATATATATATATTTAAATAATAAAAATTATTTTATGGTCCTATGTACTACGTTTTCTAAAATAGGATTGCAATGTGATTATTGATACTTGATGGATTGGGTTGTACTTTCCAATTTGGTGGTCTAATTGGGAGTATAGTTTTATACCGTTGGATTGTGGTTTTCCAACTTATTTGGTGTGATTTAATTCTAACCATTGATATCTAAGTTTCCATGATAGGAAGAGAGACTTAGATATGCTTGTTTGTAGAGAAGCCGTCCCCCCCCCCCTGTTGTTATTATATATAAGGGTTTTAAAACCCTTATTCAGTCCTATCGTATCGACAACTTTCAGAAGGGGGTAAAGCGCTCTATTTTTTCCAGATCTCTCAAAGGGCCATAAGGAATTTTCAAAGGTATATGTGCGTTAATCATCAATTAGGTACGAGCCTAAATTCCCTATTTAATTAATTATAATATTCTTGATTTCTACATGTGAATTATTTATTTAAACCCAACAAATATTACCTTGTAATTATTGTCCTATATTTACTTCCCATTTCTAAAATCATATATATTTTAATATATAAAATATATATAAACATGACAGGGGAGGCACCAGCCACCACCGTTTGCGTCACCGGAGCTACCGGATTCATCGGGTCATGGCTCGTCATGCGCCTTCTCGAGCAGGGCTATACTGTTCGTGCCACTGTTCGTGACCCTGGTACATATACTTTCTCTTGCATGTTCTTAATTTAGTCAAATATACACACACACACATATATATATACACGTGCGTATAGATAGAGGTTTTGTGTGTGTAACACGAACTCGGATTCTATACAATTTAACGGGTGTGTACTACTTCCGATGGTTCAAAGTGCGCACACACTGGAGTTTTTTGTAAACAAATTTATAAATGAGAAATTTATATACATATAACTATATATATATATGGTGGTACAGAGAATAAAAAGAAAGTGAAGCACTTGATGGAGTTACCAAAAGCTGATACGAACTTAACACTATGGAAAGCTGACCTTAATGAAGAAGGAAGTTTTAATGAAGCCATTGAAGGTTGCTGTGGGGTGTTTCATGTGGCCACACCTATGGACTTTGAATCCAAGGATCCTGAGGTATATATATAATGAATTATATATACATGAATTTGTTAACCTATTTATGTACAACAGAATGAAGTGATTAAGCCGACAATCAATGGTGTGTTAAGCATCATAAGATCATGTGTGAAAGCGAAGACAGTGAAGAGGCTAGTCTTCACATCCTCAGCTGGAACAGTCGATGTCCAAGAACACCAACAACCTGTGTTTGATGAAACCAATTGGAGTGACTTGGATTTCATCTATAAGAAGAAGATGACTGGTTGGGTTAGTATTTTCATTGCCGCTATTAATCTTTGCCACTTTATCTTTATACATACATACAGTGACGGACCCAGAAAGTTTTGTGAGGGGGGCGGCTTTTTAATTTGTGGGTACAAAATTATATGATGCGTTCATTTTTGTAATTTTAATAGGGTTTTTTTCATAAATTTTAAAAATTTTAAAGTATAAAATGAAAAAAAAAAAACATCAGTGGGGAAAATTATAATTCTAGTGGGAGCATCTTCATAAATTATCAAAATTTGATGTATAAAATGCTAAAAAAAAGAATCCAGTGGTGGCAAATTGTAATTTTAGGGGGGGCATTTTCATAAAATTTTAAAAAATTAGGGTATAAAATGAAAATATTAAAAATCCAGGGGGGGCATCTGCCCCTCCTGTTCACCTGCTGGGTCCGTGTCTGCATACATAAGGTATGCCCTAATAACTGGGCATCCGGGTTTTTGCCCCGACTAAATTTTCGGGACATTATGTAAATGAAAGTTCAATCTTTCACCCGCAGACGTGATTCCAACGAGCTCGCGTCCAAAATTATCCTATCTAATGCTAATGCATATAGTTTTCGTGCTAACAAGATAACAAGTGTGAAATTAAAACAATTCTAAACAAATAAGAAAAACCTTATTCTATCTAATTAGAAAAATTTAATGATCTCTTATCCGTAAAGGGGAAGGTTGAGAGTTCGAGTCCTTCTAAACGAAATATTGACTTTTGGAGAATATTTTTTTTGGAAGTTGAGAAAATAAAAATAAAATTGAAACAACAATGGATCTAATTTATCTCTCTCTCTCTCTCTCTATATATATATATATATATATACACACACACACACACACATACATATATGCAGATGTATTTTGTGTCAAAAACATTGGCAGAGAAAGCAGTATGGGATGCAGCTAAAAAGAACAACATTGATTTCATCAGTATTATACCAACACTAGTGGTGGGCCCTTTTATCACTCCAACATTTCCACCAAGCCTAATTACTGCTCTTTCACCAATCATAGGTACATTTTAATTTGCATATATATATAGTTGTTAATGGTTATTAAATTGTACAGGGAATGAAGCTCACTACTCAATTATAAAGCAAGGTCAATTTGTGCATCTTGATGATCTTTGCCAATCTCATATATTCTTGTATGAGAATCCTTAAGCAGAGGGAAGATACATTTGCTCTTCTCATGATGGAACCATTTACGATTTGGCTACAATGCTTCGAGAGAAATGGCCCGAGTACAATGTCCCCACTGAGTAAGCCTCTTCAATATATATATATATATATATATATACACTAAAATTTATTTCGAATCCACCTCACATCAATCTCAGAATATAAAATCATACCAAAAATCGTATCAATTTATAAAATGGAGCCCATTTAATTATAGAAGGATATTTTAGTCTTTTCAGTAGTCAAGTCTTTATTTGCTCCAAAATTAAATGTTTGAGAGATTTTAGAACGTATAGAGTGTTATGTGTTATACGATCTATATGCGACCTTTACTTTAAATACGGTCAAGCGAATGGAGACCGGAGAAAACTATACGCTCTATTTTTTCTTCGTATGCTGAAAACTGACTTGGTTAATGATTTTGACAATAGCCATGATAGGTTTAAGGGCATCGAGAAGGACTTGCAAGTTGTCTCCTTCTCGTCGAAGAAGTTGAAAGGGATGGGGTTCGAGTTTAAGTATAGCTTGGAGGACATGTTCAAAGGAGCGATTGAGCTCGTACCACGGTACCATAAATATATAAATAAATTCCTTCCTAATACTGAAAAGTAAAGCCATCCGTTATGTCGTTCAACTATTTTAGTTGACAGGACATGCATCCATGTAGGATTTAACTGTTTTAATTAATCCATTCCCTATGTATGAATGGGTAGGGATTAGTGTTGTGGCCTAATCCATCCCTCCGTATGCCACCGTCCCATACCGGTGCATACATGTAAATGATCCATAAATGATGCAATATTTTATACACTACATCAAATAAAGTCCACATTATCCATATAGTTGATAAACACAGAATTTAAACAAGTCATCAACTAAAAATTCAGAATCCATCCATATAAGTAAACGAGACAAAGCTTACTAATTCGTCAAGTTAAATTCCAGCATCCATCCAAGTAATTGACAGACAATATACATTTAATTCTTCAATTAATTCCAGGCCAACGTCCAATTAGACTAACAGAACCTAAGTACTAGTTCAGCAACTTAAGTCCAAACCCTAACCTAAATAATTGCAGTGAAATGCTTAATGTTACAGCAATTAAGATTCCAAACTTAAATCCATGCATTGCATAAAAGTAATTAGTATCTCAACAATTTACATCCAGGATATGCATAGATCAAACTTGTTAATTAAATGATCTTAGCATGCAACCCCAACAAGAATTATAAATATGAACATATTCCGTTAAATTGCTAAAATTAAATTAGGCAATTAAACCCCTTCCACTCATTAGCCGCCCGTACTGTTGTATGCTTTCCTACGGTTAACTCCATGAGTCCAAAGACATTTATTTATCAAGTGTGGCTCTAATGTAGCATGGCACAATGATTAGAATCCATGTTCTAACCCTTTTAAATTCTAGACACCGTTTGCACAATTAAATCCTTTCGTACCATCAAGTCCGTAAACAGCCTGCAACTTGCTTCGGATTTTCCCACGGTTTAAACCATTAGCATATAAATAATTTAATGCATCCTAAGGCCTTAATACTCCATGGATTAGTGTTTAAAAATTATCACAGTAGCCAAACATAGTTCAAAAACTAAAATTGAACCAAACCATGCACAAACTGATCCAATATACACACAAAAACATAGAGCCTGCTCCCAAAACAAATGGAGCAGGTTCTAACCTGCCTAGAGCCGGCTCCCATAACCTTGGAGCCCGCTCTAATAGAGTGGGAGCCGGCTCTTTGCTTCCTAGAGCCGGCTCTCCCTCTTTGAGAGCCTTCTCTACTTCTTCTGCTTCGTTCTTCTTCGTCCGGTTGTCGTCTGTGATTCCGGTGAAGTCCAGTGTCCTACCCCAAACCTTTGTAGCATTCTTAGGGTTATATTCAAGTTCCTAAAGTCCTAGAAACCCTACATATTCTAGTGTGACGTAATTGACAAAAACCAAAACCTCCACAGAACAGTTTATGAAACAATCCAGTTTTAATTTCAAGAACGCAGAACAGATTACTGAAATAATCTAACATGCTTATAATCCATTTTAATAGTTTGATTAAGTTCTTAGAGTCTATATAAGATGCACATAACACAAGTTTACAGGAAATGAGTAGACTGAAACTTGCCTTGAGATTCCGGTTTGAAATCTTTATCGTCGTCTCTAAGTTTCAGAATTTCTCCAAGACTGTTCCTTCCTCTAATCACTGCTCCAGTTCGATCTCACAGTAAACCATTCCTTCCTCCTTGATAGGACCTTCAGTTCCATTGCTGAAAGCCCTTCCCAGTTTTCCTTTCATGTTTTACCCCTCAGCCTCTTTGTTTCTCTTTTTCTCTAGTTACGGGAACAGAGTTTGTTTTTAAAACCCATTACCTAACCTACAACTTATATATATATAGGCTCCATTAAAACCTAATCCTAATTCCACGACTCATTATATGTTGGCTATATAATATAAACCCTAAACTTAATTATAACTCAAACGATGCATTAAACCAGTGACTAAACAATAACGTCCACCCTACAGCACAACTGTAATTAGAAATTAAATAAATACCTTTAAAATGGATAAATAAAGTTCAGAAAATAAATAATTACAATTAAAACAAATAAATAAAGTCAAACAAATAAATAATTAGAATTCAACAAATTAGTCAACACAAATAAATAACTAATTCACATAGAACCACAATTACACACCTAAGTCAAATTCCCATTAATAAAAAAAAATGCACATAAATTAAATTTAAATTCCCATTTTATCCCTTTTGAAAACTAGGGGTATTACACTTGGATTCTATTCAATTTAACTCGGGTGTGTACTACTTCTGATGGTTCAAAGTACGCACACACTGGAGTTTTTTGTAAACAAATTTATAAATGAGAAATTTATACATATATATAATTATATATATATGGTGGTACAGAGAATAAAAAGAAAGTGAAGCACTTGATGGAGTTACCAAAAGCTAATACAAACTTGACACTATGGAAAGCTGACCTTAATGAAGAAGGAAGTTTTGATGAAGCCATTGAAGGTTGCTGTGGGGTGTTTCTGTTGGAGTTGGTGGGCTAGTGAACACAAATGGGATACACTCATTTATATTCAACTGAATTAGTAAACACACAATTCAGAAACACTCACATCTATAAAGCTGAATTTTTTATCTTGTATTGCTCAATTGTTTTTGTGTTGAAATACACTTACATGACTCACCTATTTATACTACTCAATGGATACTTTTAGTACATGAATTTAATACATGCAATGAACCACACAATGAACCAAAATATTTCATATACACCAAAATGTTCCATGTACTAGCAATTATTATGAGATTTTTTGCACCTTCCCAAGTATAACTTGGTTTTCTTAGATTAATCTAGACAAGTCTAGATTAATCTTCCAACATCCCCCCTTAAGTTAGACTTGTGCAACTCCAAGTTTCTCCTTCAATCTGATAAAACTTTTTAACTTCAATGCTTTTGTAAAAATGTCTGATCTTCGGTTTTGCAGTGTTTGATGACAATTTCTCCATCTTTAACCAAATCTCTTATGAAGTGATACTTGATTCTAATATGCTTGCTTCTGCAATGAAAAACTAGATTCTTGCTAAGTGCAATTGCTAAATTATTATCACAAAACAGAACAGTATCTTTCATCTGAAAATACTTCAAATTTTCTAATACCCATTTCAACCATAGTGCTTGGCAACCAGCTGTGGACAGAGTAATATATTCAGCTTTTTTAGTTGAAAGTGCTACTATAGGTTGCTTCTTTAATGCCCAAGATACTGCACCTGAAACAATGTTAAAAGACATAACCAGAAGTACTTTTGTGATCATCTCCACTACCTCCCCAATCACTATCACTATATCCGGTCAAAGTTGAATTTTGACCCCTCTTGTAATGAATTCCATGATCAATTGTACCTCGAACATATCTCAGAATTCTCTTTCAGTATCCCAATGACTTTGCTTTAGTGCTGCTATGAACTTGCTTAGCATGCTAACTGAAAACATTAAATCTGGTCTTGTTGCGGTTAAGTACATAAAACTTCCCATAAGACTTCTATAGACAGTAGCATCAAAATCTTCACTCCTATCATTTTTGCTCAACTAAAGACCTACTTCCATGGGTGTTGTACTTGGTGAGGCTTCCTCCATTTTGAACTTTGCAAGCAAATCTTTTGCATATTTCTTTTATGAAATTATGATCTCATCACTTTCCCGCTTAACTTCGATTCCAAGGAAATAATGAAGAAGGCCCATATCTTTCATCTCGAACTCATTCATCATCAACATCTTGAACTCATCACACATCTTCTTACAACTGCTGGTGAAAATTAAGTCATCAACAGATAAGTAAACTAGTAAAATATTTCCACTTTTGTCTTTATTGGTGTAGAGAACATATTTATAAGGACATCTCCTGAACCCATTCTTTATGAATAAACTATCAATGCAACTGTACCAAGCCCTTGGAGCTTATTTTAAACCATATAAGGCCTTCTTCAAATGACATACCTTACCTTCTTCACCTTTCTTCACATAACCTGGGGGTTGCTCAACATAAACTTCTTCATTGATGTAGCTATTTAAAAATGCTGATTTTACATTCATTTGATGTATTTTCCATTCTCTTTGAGCTGCTATTGCAAGAATTAATTGATCTGTCTCCAATCGAGTCACCGGAGCAAAAATTTCTTCATAATCGATGCCATGCTTTTGTTTGTAGCCTTTCACAACAAGTCTTACCTTGTACTTGTCCACTTCTCCCTTCTCATTTACCTTTGTTTTGTAAACCCACTTCACACCAAGTGATTTCTTGTCTTTTGGAAGCTTGGTCAAT